AAAACACGAATAAATAAAAACAAAATTAACTTATAAATGTATACAAGACAATTAATTGAGAACGGAAGCACATTTGCGCGCCATCTAACTGCTGCATATGCACATACACACACACACATACATTGTATGCATCATTCATATACAACCTGTATTATACATATAATGAATGTGTGTATTGGATCGGTGTGCAAAATTCGAATTAAGCATTCATTGATTGATTGATTATCTTATGAATAGCAGATTATATTCACATAAACGATCGATCGATCGATAGATGAATAAATATACTTTTTTTCTGGAAACTTGTTCTCGAATTCCTACACATATTTTAAACATGCGAAAACTGCATTCTCCATATAATCCAGTCTTAACCTAGCCTGGTTAAATAGTACACTACTTACTAGCCGGACCTAAGCCCGGGTAAAAAGGTTGGGCATAGGACTACCAACCTTACCCCGTAAAACAAATCTGACCGCTAAAGAAACTTCAAAGCACAGACAAAATATAAAACATAAAAACAAACTGACTCCTCACTGGAATCGGAGAGGCGAAATCACGAAAGGAAACGACGCCTTCAGGAAGCCGATTGGCCGATGTGTTTTCTCTCGATGAAAGCGAAAGTAAGAATGAGGACATGGGATGTCCGCACAGTGTTTGAACCTAGCAAGGCTGCACAGTTTCCAAAAGAGATGGGAAGGTATAGCATAGAAGTGCTAGGAATCTGTGAAAGCAGATGGAATGGAAGTGAACTCCTCCTGGAGAGGAGTCAATTATCTACTCAAATATTGTCACCCAGACAACAACCATGAGCACACTGAGTTTTCGAGTGGATATCATGATGTCCCCAACTACATCGAAGGCTCTCTCTCTCATGCAGTGGGAACCAGTCTTCACCAGGATGAGGATCATGACAGCAGGGTTCAACTCAAAAGGAAGGAAAGTCACAATCACACAATGCTACACTACGCTGTGCACCTACAAAAAATAATGTAGATGGAGGAGTTCAACAGACAAGTGCAATCAACACTGGACAAGACCCCAGTTCAGTTGGCGACATGAAAATTCATTCCAATTGGTGGGGTGACATGAATGCCAAACTGTGAGTGAACAACACAGGAAGAGAAGTGATCATTGATCGAGAAGCTGTCGGTGAAGTGAACGAGAATGGGGAATTGTTTGGAGAATTCTGTGCATTGAATGATTTGTTGATTGGAGTCGGGCAGTGTGTTCAAGCACAAGGATATCTACAAAGCGAGTGATGTGGATTTGATTTCACTAGACACCAGATGGACACACTAAAAATCAGATTGACTTCATCTCAGTGTGAAGAGAGTGGAGACGCGGCCAACTGGACACAAGATGAGATGAAGGGAGGGGAGCAGATGGAGATTCACACCACTCACCACTACTTATTGCAAGGAACCATCAAAATCAGTTTGATAACCTTGAGAGAAGTTCTTGATAGACCACAGTTGAAGTTCAACACCCACCCAGAACACAGACTGAAGTGAAGGACAAAACTACAAAGGAAATCTTCACGTCAGTCAGTCAGTCAATGAATCAGCTAGTCCGTTAGTCAGTCAGTCAGTGATGATGTGAAAATGGGAGAGATTGAGGAATATCGTTGAGGATACCTGGGTGGAAGAATACTGGAACGCTTTGAAGGCGATATGGAAGGAAACCTGCATAACGGTGCTTAGAGGGAAGAAGAAAGAAGACGAGACAAGGAATGGATCTCTCGATGGACACATGGAAGGTGAAAGAGCAGTGAGAGTAGGATGGTGAAGCAGAAGATAAGTCGTTGCAGGCTGGGATGAACGACGAGAAGAGGAACTGATTACAACGTATAAAACACTACACTAGACAAAGAAGTGAAGAAGAGTGCACGCAAAGACAAAAACACTTCGACAACCCACTTGCAAGTGAAGCAGAACAGGCTGCCGGCTGGTAGGAGAGACGGAGACCTGACAACATAATATGAAATGACCAGGTTACTATCTGAGAGTGGAGAGATTGACATAGATGAAAGCAATGAAGATATTGAAGGGAACCTAGTTACGAAAGAGGCTGATCAAAGGAAACAATGTGCTGACCACTTGAGAAAGCTGTTGAATCGACCACCACCACTACCACCTGCACTTAATCCAGAAAAGCCACCGCTAGCTCGGTGACGAAAATACCAGTGAATACAAGTCCTCCGACGAAAGCAGAAGTGATGTTTTGAAGGCCATTAAGTTGCTGAAATGCGGGGAAGCAACAGGATGAGATGGAATTGGATCAGAAGCACTGAAAACAAACGCAGAGACAACAGTGGACACGCTTACATCACTATTGCAGAATGTTCGCAAGAAAGGAAGGAAACATACCTGATGATTAGAAGAAGAGGTACTTTGTCAAAATCTTAAGGAAGGGCGACCAAAGTCTTTGCAAGAACTGGCGCGGAATCAGGCTCCGGTCGACAGCAAGCAAAATACTAGCCCACGTCAAACTAGAAAGACTGAAAAGAAAATGCTCTGGATTCAAAATTACAGCCGGGACAGGCTGTCTCGCTGGCTGGCTTCAGGAAGAACAAATCATGTGAAGATCAAATTGCAACGCTATGCATCATCATAGAATAGAGCATAGAATGACAGTTAACTCTCTACCTTACCTCAACTTCATCCACTTTGAAAAGCCTTCGACAGCGTCAACCGAAAAGTAATTTGGCAGACACTTGCTTCAACACTACGGTCTTAGTGACACAAACCTTCATCAACCTCAGTCAATAGCCATATACTAGATGATGCTACATGCCAAGTGATTCACAATGGAAAGCAGCTCACTGATGCTTTTGAAGTGAAGACAGGAAGGAGTGAGACAAGGCTGCAACCTACTATCACCCATGATATTCCTGATTGTGGTCGACTGGACTCAACTGGACTCGACTCGACTGGACTGTATCATGCAGCAGACAACTGTGAGGAGAGAGAAGAGGGGGATACGCCGGCTGGACCGGCGAAAATATACTACAAGATTTGGATTTTGCCAACGATGATTCGGGTCCAATGTCTTCTTGCACAAACTCGAAGATCTATAGGCAAAAACTAGCAAGTTGACAGAAGAGGCGAGGCAGAGAAGATGGGATTTCCTTCAAGTGAACGTAGAGAAGACAGAGGTGATGAAGATACCCAACCAACGCCAGCACCACCACCACCACCAATAACAACAACAACAACAAGCTCCGATCACCATCAACAGGAGAAATCTGAAGGAAGTTGTCTCCTTCACCTACCCACCTACCTACCTAGACAATATCGTTTCAACTACAGGCGGTGATGGCAAAGACGAGGACGTCAAAGCCAGCCAGCATCGGAAAAGCAAAACAGACCTTCCTTCATTAACCTGAAACCAGTGTGGAGATCTTCTACACTTCACTGCACTGCACTCAGCATAAAGCATGAACAACATCCGGATTTTCAACACCAAGTCACTCAAGTCAATGCTTCTATGTGATGGTTCAGAGACTTGGCGCGTCACGAAAAGCATCTCCAACAAACTACAGACATTCATCAACAACTGCCACCCACGCTCACTCACTCCATACTGAAGATGACGATCAGATGGCCAGAATAATAAGAATAAGCAACAAGGAACTCTGGCTGGCTGGCTAGCAACGAACCAACCAACAACCTATCGCTCAACAAATACGCAGAAGGAAGTGCAGATGGATTGGATTGGACATACACTGAGAAGGCCGACTGGAGACATCGTGCGTCAGGTCAGACCAGGCCGTCGAATGGAACCCAGATGGGGAACTACGAGTTGGACGTCTGAGGCGAGGATGACAAGAAGGAAATGGTGTTATAAAGAAATGAGAGCTTGTGGGCAGTGGTGGAGGCAGGTTGAAAAGATTGCAGAGAAGAGAGTGGAATGGAGGCGTGCTACTGAAGCTGAATGTTCCACTAGGAACCCAAGGGACAAATAATATAATTTTGAGAGTAATAATAATACACCTAAGCACCAGTTACAGTTGCAATAAAGCATTTGAATGATCAAAACACGGCAATAATTGACATCATACTCAGCATTCTTCAAATAACTTTATAAGTTACAAACAGATTTATAAACAAATAAGAGATACAACTGATATAAATTTGTCTAGGAAATGTTTCCTCATTGATAAGAACATTGCCAATTTCACACAAAATAAAGACAAAAAGCAATTGGGAACAAGGCGGTAACATACTACTATCATGAATAGAACTATCAGTAGTATTGTGAGTCTAGATTTAAATTTATTTAGCATAATGCACTCTTATATGCATGGAAATGTCTATGATAATAAGTGTCTTTTATACATATGAGCAAAGGAGAGAGAAAATTTTGAATTCCAATAGTATTGACCTATAATCGATTAATGTAATCCATTGAATAAGGCATACATACACCACATATATGTATATATATGTGCGTGTGACTAATATCAGCCTATTTAACTGACTATATAAGGCAAGATATGAACTATGAAATAATAACAATAAGTATTATTAAGGCTGTTTTTATAAAATAGTCAGTTATTTCGATTGAGATAATGATCAACTGAAACCTATACCAATTGTAGCAATAAAATTTCAACTAATCAATAATAATAATAATAATAACATGAGTGAATAAATAAAAAGGGGATTATCAGTAGGAAGAAGGGTAAACTATCTATGGAATAAAGTGGAACAGAAAGAACGAACATAACTTGAAATAACCTATGAGAAGGTATAAAATATAGAATTGCAAAGAACTTACTATACAAAAACACTTGATATCAAGGTGAAATATGCAAATATAATGTTAAGCGGAGAGTATTCAAGGTAAGCTTGACATTTAACAAAACCACGAGAGAAAAAAAGGATAAGCTATTTGACCTTTTCATTCACTGATTAAATGTTATTATAAGAAAATTTTACTTCATTTCTTTTTTCTTTTCCTTTATAGGAAGACAATTGGATGTGTTTTGTACAATAGATTTAAAATCGATAGACTGGTTGATTACTACTACTGATAGTGTGATCTTTACTAGTAATAATATTATTACTAGAACTGTTTATATGAGTATTGTGTACAAAAAATTTCGTTGATCTGCATGAAGTAGGATGTCGTACAGAACTATCCTCAGAATTTCTATCAATACAACTCGTATTAACAGTAGTAGTAGTGGCAGCAGCAGCAGTAGTAGTAGTGTTATCCTGACAATATTGATGATAATTATGATCTGTTGATGACCAAACAGCCATATTCGACGAAGAAGATGAATGATATGAATTGAAAGGCACAAAAGATCCACCTACAATCTGTTGGTCACAAGTACTCTCTACACCGATTCCTGTATCTGGTGATGAATTTGTCAGCTCAGTACGTTTATGTTTCGGTGACTGCAATAGAATGTTGGATGGTAGCGGTGATGGAGCTATTGAATTGTGCATTCCACAGTTCAAATGTGTAACTGTAGTGATTTGTCTGTTCAATCGCATAGCAGGGTAAGACTGTTTGTGCACAGCTATTTGGGTTTGGTCCATATACGGAGACACTATAGTGGATTGGTATAGACGTGAAGCATGATCAGGTGTTCCAGTTCCTCCTGACGGTAATGGATATAAAAGTGGCATAGATGGTGGTTGTTGTATTGGTGAACAACTCTGTACAGGTTGGTAACGGAAACTGGTAGGCACGTAAGTGGATGTTTGAGTTTTTAATGGAAAGTAATATATCCCAGTGTTATTCACCCTACTAGTAGTAGGTGTGGTAGCTGCAGTTTTCTTTGAAGAGTTACTCATTCTTGGTAGAATCTCAATACGATTTACCATGGAAGTAGTCACTTCTTCGCTCGACAAATTATTCACTGAATGGGAGGCAGTATTATTTTTGTCATATTTATTAGTAGCAGTAACAGTAGTAATGGTGGCATTGTTAGCAAGGTAGCAAGATGATGTATACACATGCCCTAAAGACATGTCACTCTCATACATCGGTAGGCTTGCTTGACAACTTGTATTGACACATGGATAAAGGTGAGATGCAGACAAGCTTAAATGATGCCTACTCTGGTCCGGTGATGGTATATCATGATTGGTATCATGATACCACAAACCATTTGCTGCATTCCGATTCACACTACTGTAATTGTTATAAGTAGTCTTACGCTGGTGTGTCTGACAGCATTCATCTCTAGGCTCATCATAAATATATTCTCCATTATTAACAATGACATTATTATTCTCCACATGTTTCTGGTACACACAATTTTGTTTATCCGACATATTCACCGAAGTTGTCATGAACAACGGCCTGTCTGACTGGTTTAGGCTATTGGTGGACAGTGTTACCCCTGGTTGATTAGGAGAGTAGAACAAAGGGGCTGGGTGTTGTTTATTTGTTGAATAGGCTGGCTGTTGGGTACAATGACTTGCATCATGTAGTGAGATACCAGTTGTATATGTATTAATATTAATAGGATGACTGATGTAATGCCTGGGAGTGTTTTGCATTGATTGACATCCAGGAGTTGTTGGTGCTGTCATCGATAAACGCATGGCTCCACGTTCACAAGGCGCTATAAAAGGACTAGAAACACTAACGGAAGCAGGATAATTGCAGGTATTAGTTAAAGGAACTAAAGGAAATGTTGTTGGATTATCAACACTACTGCTGTGATTGTTATTATTATTATTGTTAGTAGTAGTAGAAGTATTCAGAAAGACTTTTGGTTTATTATCTACAGTTTGTATAGGCTTAACTACATGCACGATACCAGATGATCTTCGATTGGTCAGTGGTTGCCATGGTCTTCTTTGTATAAGATTTGAATCACCCAAATGAAAATTATTACTGATATTATTTACTTCATGTACACTGGAATAACTTAACTGTTGAGTAGAATTCCAAACATTTTGTTGATTCGATGGTATAGATGTAGAGGTCAATTGTTGTTTAATCTCTTCACTACCAGTTTCATAAAGTTTTGGACGAATCAATAAGATAGGCGCTTTACTTGTAATTTTCACTGGAAACTTACTATTCACATTACAATGATTCTGTACATTTTTATACTTATCAGCATTTTTAATATTATTCTGATCTTTTATTGTCTGTTCAATTGTCAATGATTTATCATTGAATATTTTATTTGAAATAAACTGATTAGTAGATAATTTATTAAAATATGGTGAAATAGGTGCAGATGTATTGATCACATTGAAATCTTTCTCTACATGCTGATGTGTTAATAATGAAGATAAAGAATGTGAATGCATAGGAAAGTGTCCATTACGTACATAAAAGTAAATATCTTCAATTTCATCGCATAATGCATTCATCTCATCTGTTTCACTAGTAAATAATGATGATGAAAGACTAGAATGTGTATTTAAACAATTTGTTGAATGATAAAAATCATTATTATCAATTGATGAGGATAATAATAATAATGAATTTGTATTATTGCCAACATAATTAGTATAATTCAAAGCTAAATGATTTAATACTTTTGGTTGGATTTCATTTAATTGACATGGATCATTTGGAATATCATTGTATTCTTCATGCATACCTAATGATGCAATTGCTGCTATACTAGTAACAGCTGATTGGATAGCAATAGTACTAAATCGATTTGTGATTGGTCCAAGAGTTCTAGTCAATGGAATATGTGATGGTCCAGTGTTCGATGAATGACTAATATCCTCTAAATGCTTTAAAATATACGTTAAACCTTGAACAGGATGACAAGCGGCTAAGAAATGTGAAACTCTAAAAGCATGTGTCTCAAGTTCACGACTATAAGTTTCACATGTTTGTGAATCTGCAACTAGAAAATTATGCTGAAGTAGCATATCTGTAGTGACGACAAAAAATCGACTTTTACCAGATACATTTGAAGAATCCGCTTGATAAACAGATCCACTACAGTCAGACAACGGTTCCAGAAATATAAGATCACCATGATGACAAGAAAATATCTGTAGTAATGAATGCAAATTTACAGAGTCTGAATTCGATATTAACGAGTGATTGGTAAGTCTCCCCATAAAAAACCATTCACTGGAGCGTAATCCCACTACAGGACGTGTAACTATAGGCAATCGATAAGTGCTTAACAATGATAAAATACTGTGAACACCATTATCGGAAATGCTGTTATCTGTTTCATGTCCTGATAACTTAGCATGACTAGAACACTTATTACTATTTACACTTACCGAAGATGATATGTTCACGGGACTGCAAACAATAGACTTTGATGCTAAAGATAAATAGACCAGTCGTGGACCTGTACTGAACCAATTCAAAGCATCCTGAGGAGATAGATTTTTAATTGAAGCAGCTAAGGCAGCTAGTGCTTTACCACCGACAACTGCACACTGAAGCATTGAGACCGGTTTCGAACGACGTGTAGAAAATCGATACGAAGAAGTTTGGTCTTCTTTATGCACTAGACGACACAGTCGACAGTCGATCAGTTGTAGTACAGTACCAGGTCGGAGCATACCGACATTATCTGCATCTAATGTTAAATTGAAACGATCATCTTTTTTCAGCAGGTCTGATGAACTCATGATAAGGGATTGAGTATTAGTAGAAAAGAGACATTGAGTTTCTTTCCTTAATAAGATGAACTTCGGTTTAGCACGCCATACCGCTTTACAACTGGACCAGACTGGAACTTCAGGACAAATTTGGGAACTATTATCAGATGGTCCAACTGCACTTCGCCGACTAATTCAAACCAAGACGGACAGCAGGATGTAAGAACAACTGAATGTGAATACGATGATCCGAATTGTGTGCTATTACCTACATTTGGGTTTGAAATACTCCGATTGGTGGAGTGCTGGGAAGACTGATGACAGCTAGACTTTTCGTTACTCAGTATAACGGAGTTCGGTAATAGCCATTCTGCCTGAACCAGTGTAACGCCTGGAACAATTTTCATGGCTAGAGCACGTTCATTTTTAAGCACACATCGACATCCTGGTTTTCGACACTCAATCTGAACTAGACGTGATGGTTTATCCACTGGATAATTCGATGAACCAATACAACTTTCCTGCTGAACAAGATCTTGAATTGTGAAACGCATTGAGTCCATTAACTGTGTCGTTTTACTAACACTGGCGGTACTTGAGCTGACACCACCACCACTGCCACGGGTAATCCATTTAAAATGAGGAGTTGAGTCATAAGTATCCACAGCACAGCTCATATGATATGGTGTATTGATGAATTCATTGTGTTGAACACACTCGATATAAATCCATATTCTGAGATAATATAAAAGTGATTTCCTTCCACCAGTATTGCACTTTATGTTATCATTAGTATTATAATTCTACAAGAATGCATGTGATTCTCATCGGTGATACACAGTTCATCTTAACCTCCGAGGTAAGCTAAATAAACAAACTATGTGCAGGCACTAGTTGATTTATATCTTTAAGCAGCAGAGAATTAAAGCATTTCGGCAACCAATAGACATGAAGGTCATTTTATGGAATTCTTATGATCTATCAAATGCCAGCTGATTTTACTGCTATGTGATTGGCTATTTTAGAACGTACATTAACAGACCAATTAAAAGTGTCCATTTATTGTTTTACTTAAAACAGCACATGTGTATACACACAAACATAAGGGTATATTATGCGACAGCCATATTTGTATTCGTATGAGCGTAGAAGTCTTTGTTTAATTTGAATGGCTTTCTATCTTTTTTAAGGTGACAAAATTTAGTCTGTTCATTGGGCTGAACTTTTCATTGTTTGTATGCTATTTAGAAGGTAATAGAACACCATTTTTAAAGGGTAACTTTCTGCAGAATTCAAGTAATACTTTTGCTGGACGTCTGTAATGGTAAGCTAGACAGAGTCTCTTAAAGTTTAGAGTTTTATCCAACAGGGCACCAAGTAACAGCGATTACTTCTATAAAAGCGATTTTCAGTTCTCGTGAGTGTATTCAGTGTGACTGGTGTTGATTTTAATTCATTGAAATAGCCGAACTCGATACACCAGTGGAAGCTGTCTCTTTCAGTTTCACATAACGAAATAACAAGTAGTAGAAACAGGATAAAATGCCTTTTACACTGCATATTGTTTATTATTTAGTGAAGGCATATGACTGTTATATTAGTAACAGATAGGAACCAGCCTGATGGATGCTTGGAACTCGATGATTTGAATAACATGCAATTTGGTATTGAGAAGCAACTAGTAAGAAGTCGTATTCAGCATTTGTTTCATCTTTGCTGACAGTCATCAACAAGTAACGTTTGCTGTAGTCTACTTTGTGGCTAACAAAAGAATCCAGGACCAGCGTTTCGTCTTATTTGAGACTCATCAGGTGGATGTACCTGGACATTTGCAGCATAGCAGAAATCAAGATATCCATAATTCAGTGCTATGGAGAGTAGTGCAGTGAATACTTAGACCACGACTAATTTTATCACTGCAGCTGTCGACACCACAGATAGAAACTGGTTCAGTTTCTGGAGGTGTTGTGTCAGTCATTGGCGAGTGCCTCATGCCACAATAACAGTAGGAATTCCTTCGTATTGTAAGATGGACCACTATGACGAACCAGTGACCGGTATTCATAGTTCAAATAAAATGGAATTAAAAGACTGAACTGTGATCCCACTGACTGTGAATATTCTTCTAGCAATATCCAGACTGAGAAATCAAACAGAAATGAGTAGAACGCATTGGTAAGCATGATGAAGAACGATCAATTAATTGCGTGTTTACAGAATATGACCAGGTTGAGATACTTACCGGTTAACTGTCATATAACAAAATACTCCAGTCATGTATAATATAAAGGTTGGGAGTCAGCCCAAAAACTGCTTGAATTTGGGGGCCTGTGAGAATATATTTATTAATTTCAGATAGAGAACCACTGGAAACTTGTTAACACTGGACAGCTATTTCGTCCCAGGATGAGACTCTTGAGCAGTCCCTGCCCATGACCCTCCCCCAGTGGTTGAACCTATGACCTTCGGGCCTTGTGGCCACCAAGTTAATATTGAGCTATTAGGTCGAAATCCCATGGTCCTATATTTTCAACTTTTGTCACTTAATGATATAGTGTAAGCTTTATTCAACACTGTTCTTATGGGTGCGCATTTCTGAGAAACCCCATACTAGAACGAAACATCTGTCCAGTGTTCCACGTGAAATCAATAATTTGTACCAATCGAAGTAAACCTGGAATTTTATGTGGTCTAGCGAAGCCATCTAGCCCAATTTAAGCTCATGGCCATTGGACGGAATTCAAGTGATCGGTAATCCACTTTAATTATAACTTTCTTCGTCACTGGTTAATTGAATAAAAACGTTTCTACAACTTATTGAAATTTTATTGATTTTTGGGTCTATCTGGTGTCATCACACAACAAGACCGTCGGAAAGATTTTCTTTCTGCAACGACTAAAAGCTTGAAGGCTAAGATTTCATGGTATGGACTAGTCCTATAATGTTATTGATCCATAATTCGCATGATCTGCAATAAGCAGATAGAAGAAGATTACAATGTTAGATATTGGGAGCCAGTTAATGAGAAGCCCTGGATTTAAGTTTTGCGCCTGAAAGGACTTTGTCAGTGCTGAACACTCAACACTAGGCAGCTATATCAGCTACTCACAGGTGACAAATTAGTGTCCGTTATCTCATCCTACAGTTTGTCACCAAAGGAATACTGGTTTTCTTGTGGTAGCAGGTACGCGGAGCTGATGACTTCTAAGTGATGCGAATCCTATATCCAGGGCTAGCTCTTAATTTCATCCCATCCTATAACATCAAGACACAGTGTCACGTCACTTCGTCACCAAGCGAGAAGGCTTAACATCGCAGTGCACTTTGATTGATGTTAGTTCGTTAAAGGCGATCAGCAGGAAGCGCTGGACTACCTGGGTTTCGCGCTTGTCGACACTCATCAGCGAGGCGTATCTGCAACCTACAACCCACTAACATTGGTCATTGTGCACGGTGATGCTTGGCCTCCTAGGTTGATGGTCATATAGCAAAGTGATCAGAAGAATTCGGTCTGCATTCAGGACTAGACAACGTGAGATTGGGTGCTGTCCCAATGACCAGTTAGTATGTATAATCTAGTCTTACAGGAGGTCTTTCGCAGGCCAAATAGCTGAGCGGTAACGTCACTTACTACGAAAATGTTTGATGTGGGTTTAAATGTCATACGGGACGTAAGTTCCCTCGGGGTTACAGATGCGACTTGCTGAGGAGTCCCACCAAGCATGAAACATAGGTCAAGCAGCGCTTCCTGTCGACTCAATTAAAATGCTTGCTGGGTTATATGACTTCTCCGGATAATAAACATCAGCTATCAGGCAACAAACGATGTGCCAACTCTATTTTCCACGCTTCTCTACCACAGCTGGTAGAGAAACCAACCACTCACATGAGATGACTAGATTAATTCAACTGAAGTATTGCTAAGCAAAGTTTCAGCTTTCACGACGCATGCATATATATCTATATCAAAGACACTACCTCTACTCCTTAGGAAGATACCGACACTAAGTGGAGGAAAAAACAAATAAAAGTTACTATTATTCATTTTGGTGCGAAAAAGCCATGATTTATTGGATGCCTGTTACCACAGTAACTAGTATAAGGGATATTCAGAAAAGTTAATTTTTCTACAAATCACTACATCTATCTGGCAATATAGTGCGAACACCATCCTTGGTGTTTTTGAGTCTTTGTCGAAACACTTGATTTAGTTGGCCTTATAAGTCAGGGGAGTAAGAAAATGCAGACCATCAGCATAGAATCCAGCGGGTTGGGGGGTGACGCCCTCAAATGAGAGCTGAAGGTCTTGGGCTCGACTCTTATAGGCTTCATGGGGGAAAGTGCTAAGTCCTATGCCAAAAGAAACACCTGTTCAGTGCTCCCAGGTTTTCATTGATTCTCCGACTAATGTCAGTATGCGATGAAGTCAATAAATCTTCGCAGAACCTTGAAATTGAACTAAATCTATCTGTTTATTTCAGTAGTCACTAGGTGATCGCTTGAGTTATTTCTCTTGGGTATATATTTGTCAAGAAAATACTTTGTATATCACATGAATAGTAGTTTTACCCTAAGCACAGTTGAATCAGCACATTTGTGCATAATGTAGGTTGGTTAGTTGAAGTTATATGTGTAGTTTGTAAGGCAACCGTTTCGGTCATTATATTACGTATATGAATTGTGAATGGACGGAATAAAGTTTCGTTTTGCATTGCTGCTATTATGGTTGACTCTAAAGCTCAACATAACAACTGAAACAACTAGTTTTCCCAATCTAAATACAGAAATCTAGTCGGTTATTTCAGTTGCTGCTAGGGTGGCCTTTAAAGTCCACCTCTCTTTTGGGTGACTACTGAATTAATCAATCAGATCTCGGCATTTAGTCTAGAAACGTAGTTTTTCATAGAATATAGGAGCCATACTGGTTATCAGCAGTTGCTAGGGTAGTATTTAAGCTCGCTCCGAAAGAGTAACTCATATAAGTCACCCTGGCAACCACTGAAATAACCAATTAAGTTGCCTTAGTTAAGCGAAAAAGTATTTCATTTTCATAAAATATGTAAACTTAATTGACTAGTACAATAGTTACTAGGATGATATCTCCAGTCGATCAACTGAAGTACCAGTGAGTTGCAAAGATTTGCAAGCAAGTTCTACCATGATTCTCTTATGCATATACAATAGGATTAAGAAACAGCAGATGCAACTCATTCTACCATCATAATAACATATAGAAATATACAATTTACAAAATGGCGCCTACATAATTTTATCCATGCATATTAAGCAAAAGAATAAATTAGATATTAGTCATACAAAGCAATGCTTATCTACGGAAAATGCGCGTATGACCTTGAAGCACACGTATATATATATATATATATATATATATATATATATATATATATATATATATATATATATATATATATATAACTATCGATTTTCTAATTCAAATAACATTTCTTTCAATGGCAATGAGTAGATTAACTGTAGCATACGCATGAAGTGCTCTGATCTCAAAATACTTCACAACTTTAAAAACAATGAATGTGATTTAAATTACACTTGAAATATATTTGATAAGAGTTCAGTGTGTCTGGAAATGAATACATTAAGTTACCATTACAATTTGTGCTCTTCACTAACTACTAAGTAAGGAAAATTCCTATATTT